GTCAGAGGCCGGATGTACATAGGGTCGCTATGAGTTGCAAGTATAGAAGGTATTTTACCTCATGCAAAAAACCGATATTATGTAAAAATTACTCCCTTTAGTATATTTTTATCTTTTAAGTTTCTGTACATAAATGATGGAACATGCTAGAGGCGCATGGTTCGAATCCACCAGATGCTCTGCTGGGGAAGGAGGGACAATCTTCTCCTGTACCAGGCAGATCTGATTTGACGGGACACTCACACAAAAATAATAAAAAAAATTTTTTTAACGTGCTTTTTTTTTTAAAAAATAGGAACATGTAAGGTAATTGCAAGCAACATGTCTCCATTGTCTTTGTTTTTATTGGATTAATTTTTAATCAGTTTTGCAAGTAGTCTCATAAATTTATATCTACATATATTCTTGCTAGATCTCCTTCTAGATAGAACTGATTTCAGAAAACAGTGTATAATTGTTTTAGACTGTATCTTGTTCACTCTTACAGTAAAGACATCTAGTGAGTGTGTGTGCGCGAGTTTTGAGTGAATATTTATAAATAGTGATTTTTCTCATAATTAATTCAGTTAAAATAAAAATACTTATAATTAAACCTAAAGCATATTTTCATTATTTCATTTCACATTTTTCTTTAATGCATAGAAATATTCAGATGTGAAGCAAGATTGGTATACTCTTAAATACAATGTGCTTTTAAAAAATGTTTCCCATGTTTCAAGCCATTCTTACTTGATACATCCAGAAAACAGACACTTCAATTAAATAATTTTTAAGATACCAGTAATATACACTAAAATTTTTTTCTTTACTCTTATATTTATTTAACATAATTTCTTATGACCTTGGAGTACATAATAGGAATAAGTAATTAGGGGATAATTATTTATCTTAGTGAAAATTTAAAAATGATAACTTCTGGACTACTTAAGGTAACATGTAGTCATAGTTGAGTAATCATACATAGATTTGTTTTATCCGTAAATTATTTCATAGCTTTAGCCTAGCTAAATTGCTGTTCTTTCTACTCCTTTAGAGAATTAAAGCGGAAAACCAAGAATCAGAATTTTTATCTTCTGCTAGAGGGACATTTAATATTTCTGTCAGTGGAGGTATGTACCTGTCAGTGCTGATTCGTTAAAAGAAAAAAAGCATTAAGAGCCCTTTTATAGGAGGTTAAGAGCTCAGCTAGCATTTAATGTATTTGATCAGTGCCTTAGTAATTATTTGTTTCTATTACATCTAAGTGATAGAAATTTTGTAATGATCTTTATTAATCCAATTAAAGTAGGTGGGAAAATGTGTTTTACATATATTTCAGTGTATTTCTATAGATCTATAAGTATTAATGCATTGTTTTAGAAGTTAACCTACCATTGATGTTATTTAAAGATTAGCATTGTATTCTTTGGTGTGTTTATAAATTTTTTTTAGCACAACCTTTAACTTGGATGTATTACATTTCCTTATTACAGATATTGATGGTTTAATTACTCAGGCATTGCTGACGGGTAATTTTGAAAGTGCAGTTGACCTTTGTTTACATGATAACCGTATGGCCGATGCCATCATATTGGCCATAGCAGGTGGACAAGAACTCTTGGCTCGAACCCAGAACAAATACTTTGCAAAATCCCAAAGCAAAATTACCAGGGTATGTTATTTTAAAGGTATACCAGCAGTTTACTCAACTATTAAATTGACAAGTAATCATACTTATTTTTCTGATTATAAAAGAAATGCACTTAATACAGAAAAGTTGAAATATGTTGTTGTCATATTGTTGTTAAGTGCCTTGGAGTCACCTACAACTCAAAACAACTGAATCTTGCCTTGTTTTGTGTTGGTGGTTCAGTGGTAGAGTTGACTATAAAAATTAGTAAAAATAAAAAAATTCATTTGTAATTCCATGGCCCAAAAATATTTCTTGTTGACATTTTTGTATAATTCTAATTATTATTCTTTCTTTGTATAAAATTATAAAATTTTTAAAATACTTTTGTACTTTATTATGGAGAGGTTAAAACACAGAAAATGTCCAACATTTCTTAATTTTTCTTACTTTTACTATTAAATTGGTGTATTTCCTTATATATGTCTTTATATAATGATTTTAAAATCAGAGCCATATATATATATATGGTTTTATTCTTGACTTTGTTACTTATTATTTTAAGTTTTCCCCCCACATCATTAAAATTATTACATATTTTGGAATACTCTATAATATGGTATAATGAAGTTGTATTTTCTTATTTTTAGAGGTTTAGTTTCTAATACTTTCCTAATATAAGTAATATAGTGATAAACATCCTCCTTGTGCCAAAGATTTGTTCAAATTTCTAATTATTGAATTAGACTTTCCTCCTCGGAGCAGAATTTCTGGAGCAGGGGCTTTGAAAATTTTTGTGGCTCCTGCTTGATGTTCATTTACCTGATGTGAATGTTATTCTATACTAGTGTTCATTCTCACCAGCATTGACTGATTCCTGTCAAATCTCTCCTCTGTTGTGTTTTAGCTACACTGGCTGCCTTTCAGTCGCTCATACACTACATGCTCCTTACCCATTATCTGTTCCTTTAGCCTTTAAGTCTTTTGCCATCTTCATGAAGCTCAGTTTTACTTTTCCATCTCAGCACTTTATAAAATGGTTTGCATGGATTTGTGGGGTTTTTTGTTTTTTATGAGGAAGAGAAAAATATCTATAATTTTGGTCCAGAGATACATTTGGCCCTACTTTATTTTGCATGAAATAGAAAGACTGTGAATAATGATTTTGAAAAATAAGTCTTTAATTCTCCACTTGTTTCATTTTCTCAAGCTGATCACTGCAGTGGTGATGAAGAACTGGAAAGAGATTGTGGAGTCTTGTAACCTTAAAAATTGGAGGGAGGCTTTAGCTGCAGTGTTGACTTATGCTAAACCAGATGAATTTTCCGCCCTCTGTGGTAAGACAGCTTTTTTTTTTTTTTTTTGATGCAACAGCAAGAGGCAAGAGGTTTATTGCGGAGCTCCGGGCCGACACGTATCTCTCGCAGGAGACAGAGGAGTTGACCTCGAGCAGACAAAGTTGGCTCTTTTTATACACTTTAGGGGGATACAACTGGGTATCAGCTTCTCATTGGGTGATGAAAAGACAATGAGCTTTGTATTGAATAGATTACAAATACAGCATTTTGTGTGTGTGTGTGTGTGTGTGTGTGTGTAAATGAATGACAAATTTTATAAAAATTTTTTTTGTTGATCTGCCAGTCACAAATAGAAAAAAGAAATTATTTTTGAGTGTTTTTATTAGAATTATTAAATACATTCTCCATAACTGTTCATTATTTGTAAAAATATCATTAAAAAATATTATTTAATGATTTTTGTGCCAGACTAGAGTTGGCAGTCTTGTCCCTGCCTAGTATTAACTGTGTCACCTAGAAAAAGTACTCTTTGGCCTCAGTTTGTTGTTGTGTACTGTCAAGTTGGAACCAACTCATAGCTGACTTTCCAGCAGGTGTTGCTTTGGGAGGAGATTGCCTATCCTTAGCCAGGCGAGTAGCTGGTGGCCTTGAAATGCTTGCGTTTTAGGTTGCAGTGCAGCTTCTTGCCACTAGGCCACCAAAGGCTTCAATTTACTCATCTATAAAATACTCCATAATAAATAACTCTATGTTAATACCACTTTGAGATAGACAAGAACAGCCTGGCAATTTATTTAAAAATAAACCACCAGACCAACTTGTGAAAACTGTGGGCCACAAATATTATGCTCAGTGATTGATCATAGGGATGGCTCAGAACCAGGCTGCATTTTGTTACAGTGTGTGTGGTTTGCCATGATTCAGGGGGCCAGCTGAACAGCCACTGTTAATAACAAAAACTGTAATTAGAACGTTTAGGTACAAATTACCATTAAAGACCTTGACTAAACTGGCTAAGGAGTAAATAGTATTTGAAAGAAGCTGTAAGACTCCTAGTCTGAGAATCATTTGCAAGTTTGAAAGTATTGAAAAGATAAAAAATATACATCTTGTGAATTATTTTAATAAAATAATTATGATTGGCCTCAGTGCCATTTAATAACATTCCATATGTGCTGTATTTCACTCTTCATTTATAAAAACACCTGATTGTAATGAAATGGAGTTAAATATTTTTAGAGGTTTTTTCCTTACCATTCCCTTTTGCCTTTAAAAAATAATTATCAGAAATCACTTCTATACTTAGGTATAAAATGTGATGAAATAGTTTATTACATATAATTTGTCACCTGTTTTTATTGATTTAAAGAAGGATTTAATGTACATTTATTCTAAGACAGTGATTTTGTTTCTCCTTGTTACTCATTGGTTGGGAAGTTTAATTCTTCTTCTAGGATTTTTATTAGGCTGCTCATGACATCATACTCCAATTGCTGTGAGCATAATCTTACTTTGTTTTTCTTTTCACCTCTAGATCTCTTGGGAACCAGGCTTGAACATGAAGGTGATAACCTCTTGCAGACTCAGGCTTGTCTCTGCTATATTTGTGCGGGGAATGTAGAGAAACTAGTTGCATGTTGGACTAAAGCTCAAGAAGGAAGCAACCCCTTGTCCCTTCAGGTTGGTATCTGAAAAGAAAGGTACTTTTTAGTGTTCCTTTTCTCTCACATATGATCAAATGATGTTCTAAAAACTGTTTTAGAACTTTATTACCTGAACCCTACTTAATAGAAGTTGTGTTCTTTTTTCTATGTGATAATATATATTATTTTTTGAAATTGAGTTGCAGCTGTTTCTCAGATTAAGGTTTTGATTTGGCAGTTTACTGGGGAAAGTAGGTGCCAAGGCACTAAAAACAGCCTCAGGGTGTTTCTCTTGTCTCTCCACTTCTTCTCTCTGCCTCTTGTAATCCTTCTTGCCTCAGGCAAAAAGGAGGCAGTGTGGGGTAGAGCGTGGGAGGTATAACATTATGCATAATTCTTTATTTCTTTGCAGAGAGCTTTTTCCCTCAGCATAGTTTCTTTTAAAATCTCTGTATTGAAAAGGAAAGCCTTGTTTTGAAAGAACAGCTTGGTTCACCCTCTCCAGGGCAGACTTAGGTCTCTTGGCCGTCCATGATATGTTCAGTACTCTTCTCTAGCACCGTAACTCAAAGGCATCAATTCTTCTGTCATCTTTATTAATTGTATTGTCCAGCTCTTAGATGCATAGCAAGTGATTGAAAAGCGCATGGTCTGAATCAGGCAAACCTTAAGTCTTTAAACTGACATCACTGCTTTGTAGAATTTTGAAGAGGCCCTTGTCAGCCGATTTTCATAGTGTAGTGCTTTAAAAAAAAAAAAAAAAGAACGAAAACAGCATCTTTATTTGAAAATATGGCTATTACCCGAATCTTATGATCAATTGCCAGGTTAGAAAAGTTAAGTGACTTATAATTCAATTTTACTATCAGTCTAAAAGATAAAAACATTTGAAGTTTTCAGTTCCTTCCCAAAAGGCAAATGGAGTTCCTCATCACTCCTGACAATGAGAAAAATAAAGACCCAGACTAGTTTTGCACAAATGGTAAATTTCAAAATATATCAGATATGTTTCCTGCATGCCTTGTCTCCTCAGTCAGTATGTATAGGACTCTGAGAAGTTGTAGGAGTATGCAGGCTTAGACTCAAGGCCCAGCTTTATCTCCAAGGTTGTGGAAGGAGATTGTATGTCATGGAGCAGAGCCCTGTAACACAGTTTCTTGACTGTGGGTACCAAGGGTGGTATTGGTTGGTAAGGCGCATTGCCATGGGAAAGTCTGCTGTTAGGGACCTCTCCAAAGTGCTGAAGAGCAGTGGTGTCTCTCTGGAGACTAAGGTGCGTCTGATACAGGCCATGGTCTTCGCAATCACCTGTTATGCATCAGAGAGTTGGACAATGACCAAGGAGGCTAGAAGGAGAACTGATGCCTTTGAGCTGTGGTGCTGGAGAAGAGTACTGAGAATACCATGGACTGCTAGGAAAACAAATAGATTTGTCCTGGAGAGGGTTAAACCGGGTGGCTCCTTGGAGGCAAGGATTCTGAGGCTCCGTCTAACTTACTTCGGACATGTAGTGAGGAGAGACCGGTCCTTGGAGAGGGACATCATGCTTGGGAGGGTGGAGGGACAGTGCAGGAGAGGAAGGCCCTCTATGAGGTGGATTGATTCAGTGACTGGGATAATTGGGATGGGAGTGTCAGAGACAGTGTGATTGGCACAGGACAGAGCGGAGTTTAGGGCTGTTGTACATAGGGTCGCTATGAGTCGCAGGCGACTCGACGGCACATAACAACAACAACAACATATTTCCAAGGAAGTTCTGGTGGCCTAGTGGCAAGGAGTTGCACCGCCATCCCAGACGCAGGCAGTTCAAATCAGTCAGCTGCTTGTTGAGAGAAAGATGAGAAGTCTCTTCCTGTGTGATTTACAGACTTTGAAAACCTGCTGGAGGGTCAATAATGCGTTGGTTCTGACTCGATGTTCTGTGACAGCAACATCTATTTCCAAAAGTTTTACATCATTTCAAGCAGAACTTCAATGTCTCTCAGCAGTAATCCCCATTCCTCCTCTCTGTAGTCTGTGGTAACCATTGCTAAACCTTTTATTTCTATGTGTTTGTCTCAGATGATATTTGGCCTTTGACTCTAGCTCATTTTACATAGTTAATCCATTAAATACTTCATTTCTTTAATGGCTGACTAATAATAATCTTGTGTGTATATGTGTATAAACATGTAAATAAGTATTGGCCTATTGATGGACATTTCTGTTCAGTTGATGGTTGTTTCTCTTCAACTCTGACAGTGTGATAACCATTGATGTTGAAGTATATCTTTGAGTCCCAGCCTTTTAAGTCTTTAGGATACATAGCTAGGAGTAGAATTGCAAGGTTATAGAGTAATTTTGCATTTAACTTTTTTTTAGGGATCAGCAAACTGATTTCCATAGTGGCTGTACCATTTTATATTCTAGCTGGCAATGTTCTAGGATCCCAGATTCTTGGAGATAATACCAGTGTCTCACATTCTTGGAGATAATATATCTCTAGGATGTATTCTCTCTCAACCTTATAAAAAAAGTATTTAAGGATGACAGAATAAGAATTGATGCCTTTGAGTTATGCTGCTGGAGAAAAGCACTGAATATCCCATGAACTGCCAAAAGTACCCAAACAGATATGTCTTTGAAAAAGTGCAGCCAGAATACTCCTTGGGGGGGCAAGGATGGTGAAACTTAATCTCATATATTTTTTCGGCATGTTGCTAGGAGAAGCTGTTCCTTGGAAAGAGATATGTTGCTTGGAAAGATAGGGGGCCAGTGAAAGACAGGAAGACCCTTAGTGAGATAGATTGACACATTGACTACAGTTATTGGCTCAAGTGTGTCAAGATGTATGAGAATGGCACTAGATAGGACAGGGTTTATATCTGTTACTCATTGGGTCCTTGTGAGTCTTAGTCCACATGACAGCACCTAAAAAGCCATTCTAGAGAGGGTGAGATGATATCTCACTGTGCTTTTGATTTGTGCTTGCCTAGAAACTAAGAATAGTGAAAATTTTATGGTTTTTTTATTGGCCATTTCTATATCTTTTTTTGAGAAATAACTTCAAATCATTTGCCTGTTTTTAAAATGGGATTATTTGCCTTTTTGTTTATACTTTGAAATAGGTTTTGGAAATTTTAGTAACTCTTTTTATCTTTTCTTAAATACATGATCTCAATATGTCTGTTTCTTTCTGACATTCTTTTTTTCCCCTTCTAATTTAGGATCTAATTGAAAAAGTTGTCATTCTACGAAAAGCTGTACAACTCACTCAAAACATGGACACTAATACTGTTGGGGTACTTTTGGCTGAGAAGATGAGTCAGTATGCCAATTTGTTAGCAGCTCAGGGCAGTATTGCTGCAGCCCTTGCCTTTCTACCTGAAAATACCAACCAGGTAATTGGAATTAACAGTTTTTTTTCTTTTCATAGATAAGTAATATGGGTCCAATAGATAGCGTTTGATACTATACATACACATACTAGTAAGTGGAGTGGTTGGATTTCTATCACCTAACCTCCAAGTGAATGTTATTAATAGTTTTGTGGCAGTCATTTTAGGAGTGCCCAGAGAGATAGGATGTTCTTAAACTAGACTTGCATAATATTTGAAGAAAATAGTAAAAAAGCTTTTTCTTTTTTAAGCCAAATGCTGCTTCATTATATAAGGGTCAGTGTAGAAATTGTTTATGTTGGAAAGCTAAAAATGTTGCTGCTTACTTGAACAAAGGAGAATGTGTGTGATTGTTTTTAAGCAGCCACATGTGCCAGCCCAAGTATTAATGACATTCGTCCCCTCTACCCTTTCCATCTGATAATGTCTGTGGAAGGTTTTATTTTAGAAGTAGGTAAGGAAGAGAAAACCACATACCAAGCATAATTTGTTGTGTTTATTTAGTGTATAATGAAACTCAGACTTTTTAATTTTATTTATATCAGTCCAGTTCAACAACTAACTGGGTAAACAATGATGAACATGATTGCTGAGATCTTTATCCTCAGGGAAATTACATACACACAAGAAGATTCTAGACAAGTGAACTTAAGAAATCCTTAAACATGATAGTTGCTATAACAAAAATGGTAATGCTACGAGAGCACCTAGAAAAGGGGCTTCTAACTGCAGTAATGGAGCATGGGTAGGGACTAGGATAAGGTTTGAAGAGAATTTCCACGAGTACGATGTTTCTCTCTGGTCAGTGTATTCATTCTACCTCAAGGAGCTTGGTTTTGAGTCTTACAGGTAATATTTCATAATTTTATTATTAGTTTTATTCTATTTGTAGGCTCTTTTTAGTCTGCTTTTTAATGATTTTTTATGTACTTTTGTGTTGTTTTTTTTTTTAATTTAAAATAAATTTATTCTATTTTTGAGTCCCCCACAAAAAAAACCCAAAAACAAAAACAGTGCACACTGCTCCCCTCCAAAGCCTCAAAGGATGAGTGCGTAAGATACACTAAAAAATGATCTCTGGACTCATGTGTAAATGTTACTCTGAACCTCGTTTGTTGTCATCAGTTTCTTCAGCATCTCCATGCTCTGGGGAATATTCTTAGCCAAACCTTTCAAACTTCCGGAAGAAAGCAGAGGCTTAAAAGCTTCTACTGTAAGAGGATCAAGTTTCATGACATCAGTATAACACAAGTATAGAATGGCAGGAATTTGCCACACTTGACAGTAACTTAGAACTGCTGCAGGAAGATCATGGACAATATTTGGCTGTTCTAACAGTGAACAGCAAGTTGGATCTTTAAAATTCTGTGTTTTCAAGGCTCTCAAGAAAGGAGATGGCAGGCTGCACGTAGATTCTGAAGTTTTATAGTTGGTGATATGTCGACATGTGAGAATGGTTACCTGCATTTTCTTCTTTGGACAAGGACCAAAAACCTTTTCCAGCCACTGATACTGCTGATCTTCTGCAACATAACAACTGCACTGACAAAGTACAACCGAAGGATTTGATTTTAGGTGATAAAACACACAAAAAGCCTCTGTGGAGGAGAGATTTATAGAATCTGTGGTTCTACACCATTCATTGCACAGTTTAGCACAACCAATTTCTTCCCAGACGCCTGAGTTCAGAACAAATGATGATATAAATGCTACTGCATTATTTCCTATAGCAAGTATAAACTTGGAGCAAGGATACTTTTCTAGCAGGGAAACTTCCAAGTATGCTTTCGTCTGTCTTTGAAGAAGCTGTACTTGCCTCTTCAGCATCAGCTGCCGCCGGACATCTCTGTCCTCTGGTGTCTCCCTCCTGGCCTCTTCTTCCTCCTCCTCATCTTCTGATCCAGCTCGGCAGGGAGCTCTCACTACCTCCCCGAAGAATGTGGCCCCCATTGCTGCTGACCAACCGTACTTTTGTGTTTTGTGAAAATTATTTACATCATAAAAAAACAACAGAAGATGTTGATCTCACATACTAACCATTCAGTAGTCACAATTCAAGTTTCTGCCTCAGTTAAAATTACAGATTGCTCAGTGTTACGGACATTGAGGTCTTTCTTGAACATCTGTAATCATAAATACTGACTGAGTGTTTGAGCAAAATGGGGCCAATTGAATGTTTTTTTTAAATTTTACTTTATAAAAGTAATCATGATGCCATTTAGTTAAGTGAATTGTAACAGTTTTCTTCTTAGGCTTTTTTTTTTTTAAATAGGCAAATATTGTACAGCTTCGTGACAGACTTTGTAGAGCACAAGGAGAACCTGTATCAAGACAGGAAACACCCAAAGTTCCTTACAAGGGCAGGCCTGGACCCACTGCTGGCCACGCACAGATGTCAAGAGTTCCACCTCAACAATACTATCCTCATGTAAGTAATCTGGTTCCAATGCAGAAAGGGCATTTGTGTATTTCTTGTACTGTAATTGTGACAATGGTGCAAGTTTGGGCTGTGCTTTGTTCTCTTATATAGGGTCACTGTGATTGGAATGACTCAGTTACTCTTTAACAACAACCTATGGCAAAGTGATGGTTTTAGTTTGGTCAGCGAGAGACCTAGTATGGTAAACCCTAGACCACATATTGTTTTAGTAGTTGTACTGTCTAGATTTTTTTTTTTAAATTGAGATTTTGGTGAGAGTTGACAGAGTAAATAGGTTTTCCATTCAATCATTCGTACACATTTTGTTTTAATACACATAGCCTTACTCCTCCTGTTTTCTCCCTATGATTCCTGTTGGCATTCATCCTTCTAGCCTTTCCCTTCCTGCTTTGTGAGATTTGTCGCTTGGCAAATGCTTACTTTTAGATCATATATGATTGTGTGTTCTATGGAGTGACTGCCTCTCTGGTGTTACTCTTGACTTTATGTAAGCCAGTTGTTTAGCTGCAAGTTGAACCACAGTGGTGAGTTTTGTTCTAGAGTAAAAGTTGACAAAAGGGCCATAGTCACAGGGGTCCTAACACTGTTAGACCAGTAAGCCTGGTCATTTTTACTTTTGAGTTTTGTTCTACATTTTTCCTCCTACTCTGTCCAGGACCTTCTAGTATGATCCCTTTTAGAGTGGTCAGGTGTAGTAGCTGGGCACCATAGTCTCTCAAGTCTCAAAAATATTACTTATGTTAATATGGGTTGAAGCTGAACATTAGGAAAACAATCTTACCACAGGGCCAGTTGACCACATCATGATAGATAGAGAGCAAATTGAGATTGTTAACAGCTTTAGCTTGCTTGGCTCCATAATCAACACTTTTGGTACCAGGAAATCAAAGACAAATTGCATTAGGAAAATCTGCTGTCAGGGACCTCTCTGTAGTACTGAAGAGCAACAGTGTCCATCTAGAGACTAATGTGCACCTGATCCAAGCCATTGTCTTCAAAATTACTTGCTGTGCATCAGAGAGCTGGACAGTGATTAAGGGTGACAGAAGAAGAATAGATGCTTTAAAGTAAAGGAAAATTGACAGCAAAACTAAAAATAGAAGAAGAATCGATGCCTTTGAGTTGTGGAGAAGAGTATTAAACATACCATGGTCTGCTAAGAGAATACACAGCATTGTCCTGCAAAGGGTAAAACCAGGCTACTCCTTGGAGGCAAGAATTTTAAAGCCTGTCTCATATTTTGGGCACATGGCCAGGAGAGACCAGTGCTTAGAGAAGGGTGGAGGGACACTGCAGGATAAGAAGACCCTGGATGAGATGGATTGACTTTGGTAAAGGGGATAAGTATGTAGGAGACAGTGAAATTGACTCAAGATAGAGCAGAATCTAGAGCTATTGTATATAGGGTGACTATGAGTTGCAAGCGACTTGATGGCACATAACAACATACCTTTGTAAATCATTCCTTTACTGTAGTCAGGTAGGTTGTATCTTAGATGTAAATTACTTTTCACTCTTAGAGATTTTGCCTTTGAGTTATCTACTATCTGATTCATCTAACAAGTTATAAGTACACTAGCAGGAACAATCTTGTGGAGGATATGGTTAATTTTATAGAATATTTTTAGAAAATAGCCTTTTTGGATTCTTCTTCTAAATTATTCATATGTATATAATCACAATAATATTTCTAGAGTAGAGATCTTTGAATGTTGGAAAAATAATGGCTCAAGTTTTATGAAGTTACAAGTCATGGCAAGTATGAAAAGAAGCAAGTTATAACATGACACATAGAAGTTATTTATTTTTCCTGTGTCATTGTCAGTCATTTACTTCTCAATTCTTTTGAATTATTTGTTTCTGTCATGAAGTTGTAAGATAAATAATCTTGTATAACTTTCTTTGAAGAAAAGTTTTACCCTGAGTTAATAATTAATTATTAATTTTTACTTTAAATTAATAGTCATTATTTATAGAAAACACTTCTCTTAATTTTAGAAATTCACTGTACACAATGGAGAAAAACAAAGACAAGTAGAAGGAAAGGAGGGAAGTCTGGTGGGGTAGTCTGGTAGGAGTTGTGCTGCTGACCTCTCAGTATACTATTTAGATACTTATTTTCAGACCAGTAGATTACCTTCCTTTTCTAAAATGAAAAGTATTTTTTCCTAAGTAACAAATGATCTTGATTGATACCATAGTAAAGAGATACCTATTTGAAAAGAAAATAAATTGCTGTTGGTAGAGTCTTATTATAATTGGTTGTAACAAATTAAATATAAAGCCATGAAAACTTTTAAAAGTAATAAATCCTGTTTATGTTATTTTTTCCTATTATAATTTTGACTAGTACTTAATGAGGATAGGTTACATTAGTTTGTACCTAAACTACCTGGAATATTCTGAACTTTGGCATTTCGCATGTATTTATTGAAATTCTGCTGTAATTGCCTATAACTGTTTTAGCTGTTGAGAGTACCTGGAGAACAAAATAGACTAAATTGACCCTTGGACCCCCATGGAACTTAATCTGGACTTGAAAATCTGTATTAAGTGGTTCCATGATATCTCAGACAAGAAGATTTAGAGAGAAGACAGAAGACGTGATAATTTTAAGACGCAGAGCTTGAACTTCTTAGTGGCACATGCCAGTCAGTGAGTAGTTTGGATTAAAGAGCCTGAGCACCTTGTATTAAACCACACTTGTGCACTGTCAGTGTATGGAACAGAGCACTCTCTACATCTGTACAAGAAGAGAATATTTTTTTTCATGTTTAGGTTTTATCTTTCTGGAAAAAAATGAAAACATTAAAAGACTTTTATTATTTTTTAACTTGCTAAAACCATAGAAAAATAGGGCAAAACTGAATTTAAAGAAAAGGCATGGGTCAGAGTTTTAATAATTTCCCATTATAAATGAAAATTCAGCTTTTGATAATGTTAAAAAATTACTTTCTGGATTAATGTTTACAATATGAAGGAATGGAGACCGTGATGTGGGGTTTTAAGCCTCTCTACTTATAGGCAGAGGTAAAGAGATGACAAGATTGCCAGATGAGGAAGAATTCTACCCCATTTCAGCAACACAATATTACATTTTATCTGTTTTAGAAGACTTTAAAGATTTACTTGATAAAAATATTTAAAACAAAAAAAATTTGAAAACTATTGGACTTGAGGGTAAGCAGATCACCTGGTGTACGACACTGGTGTCAACATCATGAGACCGGAAATGAGTCCACTGACTTAGTGTGGGCTCGGCGAGACCCTTTGTGTTCTGGGCATTGGTTTTCTCTATGGCACAGGGTGGGTATTAGACTTAGATGATGCTTTGTGTCCTTTTCAGCTTTAACCCTCTCTGACTGTGATTTTTTTAAAGCCTCATATGAAATTAATATGATTTTTGTGGCTCTAATGAATCCAGAAAATGGAGCTTAATAATACAGATCTAATGACGGCATGCTTCCTATTAGTGCTTTAGAAAATAACTTTTTTACTCAGTTATCTCTTTTTTCCGACAATATATTATTTCCTTCCCTGCTTACTAGACCTAACTTTCCTTGCCTTATTTTTTACATTTGGATAGCCTTGTGCTTTGAGTTTTGATATTAATTTTTTACTTATCCCTTTTCTTTTTGTTATGATTCTGTTTTCCATTGGAAATTTCATCTGCTTTGAATGCAATCACTTGACTAATAGAATGCTTTCTTGGTACTTTTACTTTTTTGCTTGCATTTGGCAACTGACATCATGAAGTTTTAGTTCTCGTTTTCTTCTTTTAACATTTTCATTTTTTATTTTCTGTGATTGGTATTTCTTTGTTCAATTCAGGTTAGAATTGCCCCTACTGTCACTACCTGGAGTAACAAAACTCCTACTGCCCTTCCCAGCCATCCACCTGCAGCCTCTCCCTCTGACACACAGGTATATCCTTCATTATTCCTCTTTGAGCAGAATTCTGCTCATTTACATATATATAGGTTATCGTCTCTAACCCCCTCTTCCTCAGATTCCTTTTCTCCAAATCTGTCTGCCTGCTCATTACATTTTAATAGTTTTAGGATGCAAGAAGCAGTTTTTAGCTCAGTTGATTTTTTTCCTTCTCCTTCTCCTTCTGCAGTTCTAAATTGACTTGAACTAGAAAAATACCAACTGAGGTTCTAACAATTAGATCTGATTTCACTGAAGGGTTTCTTTTTTTTTTTTAAAGTACTTCAGAAATTGAAGAGAAGCCAGTGTTCATTGTTCCCTTTGTAACATTCATACGCATTTCCAGAGTGTGTAATAGTGGATGGAATTTACTAGGATGGAAGAGCCCTGGTGACTTATGAATATCACTGACTCTATGTAATGAGGCTATTAGCATCCGTTGCCTTTTTTTAAAACCTGTCTGATCTTTAAATTATTCAGTAAATGTGGTGTTCTGAGGAGATAGAACGTACAAAATGGAATACAATTTTTTGGGGGTTTTTTGGTGGTGGTTTTGTTAATAAACAAGAATTTCATTTAGGAAATTGCAAGTCCATCTGGTAAAATTCCCGATTCCAAACGTAATCCTCCTCCTTACCATATTCTCATTTACTAGGGAGAAAATCCTCCACCTCCAGGTTTCGTAATGCATGGAAATGTTAATCCAAATACTGCCGCTCAACTACCCACATCTCCAGGTCATATGCACAGCCAGGTACCACCTTATCCACAGCCACAGCGTAAGTAGAATAACCTTGAAGTCCCTTAATATCCCAATATCTCATCTGATGTAGTAACCATTGACTCTGAAGCTCTAAAACCCACAGTCAAATAAATTTTGACAAGTAAAACATCATTCTATACTGAACTCTGTTATAGTGAAATGTAGTTTCCCAGTGAGACTCCACATACTCATAGAAACAGTATTCTGTCTGTTCAGAACAGTTGGCTTTTGTTCTTGAGACATTGCTAAGATATACTAAAGAGTCAAATGTCCCATGAATTTGGTATCAAAACTTAGAGTATCAGAACTCATTTAGTGTATTTTCTGTTTCTTGAGGAAATATACACAAACTAGTATTGAAGAGGAAGGAAAATATTCCCAAGGAGCATTTTTTTAAAGCAGTTGGAAAGTAAAAAATGATCACTATAACTTAAATGGAAAGGAAATAAAAAGACCCCTAGGTAACCACTAATCCAAACATTTGGTGCTACAAGGAATGTTCTTGTTAACATAAATATAAACTTGATGAAACCTTTCACACATATTTTAATATGAAAGTTTTAACTTTAGAGACCTCATAGGAAATGGATACGATTGTACTAAATTTTCATACCTGCCGTGGTCACATACAGGCGAGGCTATTCCTTGCAAAGTGTCATGCTTGGAAAGATGGAGGTCAATGAAGGAGAAGAAGACCCCTAAGGAGATGGATTGACATGGTGACGTCAGCAGTGGGCTCTAGTATATCAGAAATGATGAGATAGCGCAGGATAGGGTAATGTTCAGGCTGGCTGTTTATAGGGTCACTGTGAGTCATACTTAGCCATCTAACAGCAACAACCCTGGTCACACAGAATGTGATAATGTTAGAATCTCCCTAATCTGGGTTCTGAATCCCTGGCTAATGTAAATGGTTAAGTGCTCAGTTGCTAATGAGAAGTTTGACCATTCAGAACTTCCCAGAAGTGCCTTGGAAGAAAGGCCTGACAACCTACAGTACTTCCAAAAGATCATAGCCATTGAAAACCTTGGGGAGTAGAGTACTTCTCTGAAGGACATGGGGTCACCATGATTAACATTTGACTTCACAGCAACTAATTTTTTAAATCTGTGTTCAGGACTTTTCATTTTAGAATTAGTTGTCACTTGATTACTTTGTAACTAACAGTGTTACAAATATAAGTATACTGTTATATGGTATAGGGATCTCTGGTGGCTTAGTGGTAGAGCTGCTCTGCCTCTCTAAAGGCATGACGTTTCAAACCAGTAGCTGGTTGTGGGCAAGAACAAAGGGAAGTCTCCTTTCATGTGATAACCTGCCAAAGGGTCAACTGTGAGTTGGCTCCAACTCAATGGTACATAACAAAATTAACAGTTACATAGTATAGGGAACTTTGGTGGTCTAGTGGTAAGGAACTGTGCTGCCAACCTGAAAGCATGTAGATCAAACCCACCAGCTGCTCTCCAGGAGAAAGATGTCTAATCTCCTCCTAAGTGATTATACTGCTTCTGAAAACCTACTAGAGGATTAACTGTAAGTTAGTTTTGACTCCACAGCATATAGTAATAATTACATAGTAATTGCTTTATCAAGGACCCTAGTGAGTTGATTCTTGATCTCTAACTGTGCTCAGACCCAGAATTGGACTCAGCATCATTAACTGATGATTATACTGGATGCTTGGTTTATTAATGCTCACCCTGTAGTTCTGATGTAGGGAGGTTTAAAGCTGCAGCCAAATGGAAACTTTTACTATAAAGGAAATTATTTCAGTGTGATACCAAGAGTGTACCATCTAGTGGTCAATAGGGATCACTGCAGTTTTTTTGACCGCGAAGGAAAAAAAAGTAATAAAAAAAAAAATTAAAAAAAAAAAATTCATTTCACAGTTTTGGGATCTAATAATCCAAAGACTTTCAAAGCCAGGAACAACCTTTGGGATGGTAGTTTTAAAATGTTGCACCTAATGACTTTAAGTATATCTAGAGCACTTGAACTATCAAAAATATAAATGTTACTTTTTGGTTATAATTTATTATTGGAAGAAGAACGATTTAAAATAATTTCCATAAAATAGCATTTTGGTCATATGATTGCATTTCAAGGAACTTGTAACTAACTAAAAAAAAATCTCTGTTTCTTCTCCGGTGTAGCTTATCAACCGGCCCAGCAGTATTCATTCGGAACAGGGGGGTCTGCAATGTATCGACCTCAGCAGCCTGTTGCTCCTCCTGCTTCAAATGCTTACCCTAACACCCCTTACATATCTTCTGCTTCTCCCTATCCTGGGCAGTCTCAGTTGTATGCAGCTCAACACCAGACTGCTCCACCTACCTCCAGCCCTGCTGCTTCTTTCCCTCCCCCTCCTTCCTCTGGAGCATCCTTCCAGCATGGCGGACCAGGAGCTCCTCCATCATCTTCAGCTTATGCACTGCCTCCTGGAACAACAGGTACACTGCCTGATGCCAGTGAGCTGCCTGCGTCCCAAAGAACAGGTCTGCGCTTGACAGGGATTTGGTTTGGCTTCCTCCTTTATATTTTCATGACTGGATGGGTGGATGGAAGGGAATTAATCTCTGTTTGTAAACTGGATAATATGAGGTATTGGTTGGGTTCTTATAACTAATTGTAAAAATATTTCTAAAACTGCAATCCTCCCATAATGAACTTTTAATTACTAAATGAGGAAAGCTGTAGAATTCCAAAAGGGGAAGAAAATGTTAGAAGGGGTAAGAAATTAATTGGCAATTAAGTGATGTTTGGACCACATGTAGTTGGCTCTAATTCCTTTACTCGAGCACAGTTACTCTATTCTTATTGAAAAGTTTTCATGCATAAAGGTATTTGTAGCTTAAACTTTTTCATGGAAATTAAGCAACACAGTGTCTTCTTAAATGAGGCCGAACAGATCTTAAAATTTTATTTGTAAGGATAAGAAATGATCTCCATGAGAAGAAAATGAGAAAACACAACTCTGACAAAGAGAGCCTGTTAAACAGCAATGAAATCAGTGTATGACAGTGGGGTGATTCTCTTAGTGTGATACTGCCCTCTCAGGCAATTCTGGAATTTTCTAGGCATGCCTTTTTTGTCTCCTACTTGATATCATACTTGGAAGGGTAGAGAGACAACCCAGGAGAGGAAGGTCCCAGATGAGATAGATTGGCACAGTAACTGGGGTAATGGAAGTTGGTGTGTTGGAGACAATGAGAATGGCTTAGGCTAGAGCAGAGTTCAGAGCTATTGTACACAGGGTCGCTATGAGTCACAGGTGTCTCGATGGCATATACCAACAGCAAACTTGATATCAACAACAACTTAGAAGATTTCTAATTAGAATTACAAATGTAGGAGTTGTTTTAGTGTGGAATATACTTGTTTTACAACATCGTTTTATTGTTCTTTTACGGCTAACATACTGTATTAATTTTGGGTGGCATATTAGTTGATTCTCATTTTGGGATAGTCAAAGGGACCTCACAAATAGGTACTATTAAAAAAAGGGAGTAACGAGCTCGATAGAGATGGGAACTACCCACATTGTAATCACAAGTATGGAATGAAACTGTGTGGGTTAGTATCACAGCTCCACTGATTCCTAGCTGTATGTATGACCTTGGGCAAATGATTTAAATTCTGTGACCCTCAGTTTCTTCATAGAATAATAGTATTAGTCTCCCAAGTTCAAAAGGATTAAATTCATTAATATAGTGAAAGCCTGGAGAAAGGACAAGAGCTATACAAGTGTCTAGGTCTTTTGTTCATAGGGTCATTATGGGTCGCCTACGACTCGATGGCACTTAATGGAAACATATTGAAAGTATACATGGAAAATGATTGCTACATCGTAAGCATTTAAAATAAATAAATAAACTGTAATTACAGAAAATCTTCGTCCAGGTTTAAGCTCTGTGCTTTTTTAGTATTTGAAAATAGTTTCCTTTTTGGATTATAGTTGATCATTTTAAAGTATAGAAAGCAGTGCCTGCTTTGCCGGTAATACTGAGCAGGCTGAGAGATAAATCTTGTTCTTGAGAGTTGAGTATATGGTTTTACTTTTTTAAGTTTTAAAGCAGGAGTTTTCCTTATTCAGAGTATCTATCATGAGACACATATACACATATCTCCTCTCCTCTTTGGTATATAATACTAAAATCCAAAGTACCAAAATTCTCATGCATAAGTGTGTGCACACATTATATGCAACATCTTTTACTGCATGAAAAATTTCAATAATGTATTATAGATGGTTTACTAGATTAATAGTTTAATGGATATTTTAGGTAGAAATGGTAATTCATTTGTAGAATTCTGAAGGACTGTTTTTAGAACTGGATAAGTAAAGACTGTCCATTCTGGATAGTATTCTTGAGCGAAAGAGTATGGGTTCAAGTAATTTCCAGTTAAAAAGTGGTACAGGAAAGGAAGAAACATGTTAGGCATGTATTAGGTTTTAAGGCTCACAACCGTGAGAGATAGGAATATTTGATTTTTTTTAACTTTACAGTTGAATAAACCTAGTCTCCTAGGAGATCTATAATGCTCTCAGCATTGCATATACTAATAGTCACTGAGTTAACATGTAAATCCCAGCCTCAGTCTTTAAAGGAGTCAGTCTTTTTGTACCACATAGACTTGTCCTAGTGTATATGATGGAAGTTAAAAAATCAGATAGCTACACTATTCTAGGAATTGTTACTTGTATCTTTTAAATATTTGCTTACCTTTTTCCCCCCTTCTTAAGCAAAATCCATTAGAAATTATATGCAGTTGGCCTGTGACATAAATCTTTGCTTATTTACAAGCTAACAGATGCTCTAACATGGCTGAGAAATGGTGACTAGTAATGAAGAAACCAAACAGTTTTTCAGAATTTGGCATGCACTAAGCCTAACTGCTTTGTTACTTCTTGCATGTTAACAGTCTTACACCTTAATTAATAGTTGAAACATTTCTAGATATGTATTTTTAGATTTTTCTAAAAAATTTACTCAGATTATATAAATAATTATGACTTCTCTATAAATTCTTCTGTTTTAATGTATCTTTTTTATTTTTTCAATTTTATTTTAATAATTTTAATGAACATTTACAGAGATTTTTGGATTTCCATTTATTGTTGCACTTTTCTGTTTTAATGTATCTTAATGCTTTAGGTTTATGATTCTATACATGACTTAGAAATTCAGTGTTTAATTCCTGGAAGACACTAGAGATTTTTCATTTCCACTAACTTAGTAAAAGATAACATTTTATGCCTAGGGATAGAGGAGCTGATGTTACAATCAGTAAAGCATCCATTCAATAACTTGTTGGCAAATAACTGTTGAATCCATAGTCAGGATTATTCCAGACAGAAGGATGATAAAGAAGGAGGCAGAAAAAGACAGTACATTTCTGCTGAACAGCTCATAGCCATATTATGGGTCAAAACATAAAATTTATATTTGGGCTTAGTTTTGTAGTTTTAAGTTCCAAGGCAAGAGCTTTATACATCATAAGAACAGTCCCAGTGAAAGGTTTTTGATCTGCTGAATGGCGTGGTCTGAATGTTGTTTGAGGGAAATTAATCTAGAAATGGCCTTGAAAGATAGATTGTGGGCAGCATGGCAGAATCTGTGGCAGTGAAGATAGGTCCACCTCTCTCAGTTCTCAATCTAAAGAAGTAATAGTCAGAATTAAGAAAGGTAGAACTTCCTGGGGGAATTTGTGTTTACTACTTCTGTATATCCCGTTGTTCTTGTGGAAAGAACCATTGATTTGGTTACATATTTATTTGACCTTCTTATTCTTGTTCATAATTCCCCTAGAATTTACAATTTCTACAGAATACAGGCCGCTGGGGGCACCCAGATGTAGCATTGAAAAGTAGTACCGCCTTGTTAAGATTGTCTAGCATTTTTATTTTTATCAAATGTAGTGCACAAGTGATTCCTTTAGGACAGTGTGGAAGAATTCTTCCATTTCTTTTTAAATTTTTATTTAAGGCATTTGTGACCTTGGAACCTCAGTGCCCACCTATCTTTTTCCACATCTGGACTTTAGAGGCAGCCATGGTATCAAACACAGATAGTTTAAATCTACCAGCAGCTCTGCAGGAGAAAGATAGGCAGTCTTCTTTCTTAAAGGTTTACACCCTTGGAAGCCCAGGAGACAGCCAACATCATGATAGGTGGAGTAAAGATTTACCATCTTAGTGATTTCGTCTGGCTTGTATCCACAGTCAACACTGTTGGCACTTAACAGTCAGGAAACAAAAAAGATGTTTTGCATTTGGTATTTGTGCTGTCAAGGATCTCTCTAAGGTGTTAAGGAGCAGTGATGTCAGTTTAAAAATTAAGGTGTGCCTGATCCAAGACATTATCTTTTCAAATACTTGTTATGCTTCTGAAAGTTGGACAGTGACTAAGAATGATAGAAGACGAAGTGACTAAGAATGACAGAAGACAAATTGATGTCTTTGAGTTGTTGTGGTGAAGAATAGTACTGAATATCCCGTGGACTGCCAGAAGGACCAATGAAAGTGCAGCTAGGGTACTCCTTTGAGGCAAGGATGGTGAAGTTTCGTCCCATGTATTTTAGTCATGTTGTTAGGAAGGACCAGTGCTTGGAAAAAGACATACTTGGAAAGGTGGAGGGCCTGTGAAAGAGAACAAGACCCTCAATAAAATGGATTGACACAGTGACTATAACAGTGGGCTCAAATTTATAAGAGATGTTGAGGGTGGCACAAGATAGGGCTAATTTCATTGTTCCTAGTGTCGCTATCAGTTGTAGTCATCTTGACAGCACCTAACAACGTGAATCAGAACCAGCACGACAGCAGTGCTAACTATGTGTTAGATCTGACTTCATGGATGTGAGATAGAGAAGCTGCCCCACTCTTAATGTGTGTTGCCATCTAGTGAGTCTTGCATAATAGCAGGAATCTGAAGATCCTGGCCTTCTCATGCCACCAGTCCTAGCACCAGAGACCCTTTAGGATGTTTGTATCCTATTAACTGTATGAAAATTCAGGTTACTGCAAAACATTTTTTCAATTCATTCAAAATGACCTCTGTTAAGGAAAACCAATGATTTCAGCAAAAAAACTTCAAAGCAGAAAAGAATGCAATCTTGAAAGGGATAACAAGATTTTTGGACCAGCACCATCTGGGAGCTAGGTTGGATCTACAGAATTTGTCCTAATACCTACTGACTTGGAATCGCCATTTTAATAAGATTGTCAAATGACATGCATTCACAACTTAATTCACAAAATAATACCAAAGTGTATGGAAATAATTGGTCACCACAGTATTATTCATTAGTAATATTAGGGGGCTCTATTGGCCAAATAGAAAAATAATTGATACAGTTAATTAAGGAGATATTGTTAATGTAAAGGGATAAAATGAAGAAAACAGAGTAATGTGTAAAAGTTAATAGGGTCTGACACAACTTAAATGACTTTACTTTACCTAAAAAGTGATTACTTTCTTAATTAGAAAAAAGGCATTTCTTGTCAAAGGGCATAATTAAAAGTTTTATTCCTTCTGAGATTAGTTAGCTTAATCTGTGGGTTAAGAAAGGAGAAGAAATAATTATAAAATAAGAAGTAGAGTTTAGAATGTTTTTATTTAAGTGACATTTACATTTTGTCTACAGAAAATCAGTCTATCCAAGATCAAGCACTTATGTTGGAAGGTGAAGTGGTCATAAAATATGCCTTTGGGAATCCTTGAATCATTGACTATAATTAATGAATGGACAGTTAAAATAATGCATGTGAACTTCAAATCAAATGACACTCTAAATCTGATCAGTATCATTTTACCTTGAACTTCTTAATTGAATAAAATTTTAGAATTAATTTAATTTACCTGATAATACAAATAGTTTTAGAATTCTCATCTTAAGGTACCAGTTTTGTTTATTTATAGAGAGGAAATGTACTGAAGTTGACAGAAATTTAATTTTATGTATGTTGTCAGCTTGAGCTCCCCCCACCTAGGCATTTAAAGTATAAGAAGAGATATTTGAGTGCTTGTCTACTTTGCAAGTAATCCTGAAGGCAAAAGTCATAAAAATTTTTGATGTTTTATAGTTAGGGTCTTTTACTTTTATAATTTTTAAAAAGTGTTTCTGTCATGTTCAGATCCCTGGTTAGTGTAAAGGTAAGCTCTCAGCTGTTATCTTTAGGCAAGTAGTTAGAATCTACTCATACTGCCATGAAAGAAGCCTCTGGTGATCAATTAATCTTTGAAATTTGTGAATGATTCAAGTATATTGAACTGTTTGTATGTTGAACGTATCAGGATTCTTTTAAGCAAACCCACTGTCCTTTTTCTTAAGAATGAGAGACTCTGGAGGGTCAAACCTCTGTAGAAAGACTTCCATGTACATAAACTTCGTGTAGCTGTTCCACTCCAGATTACTAATTTCAGTGTTTTGCTTATTAAATCAAGGCGTGTGATTATTAGAGGTAATGAGTTTGAGAATCCAGGACTTAGAGATCCTCACAGCTCAGAGTGTAAAACCTTTGTGACAGTTATTTCAAGTTCAAGGCAGAATTTAAAGTTATGTGATGGATACTATTTCATTTTCTTCACTTCAGGATTCTAAAGAGAAATGCTGCCTCTTATCTGTTACAGGTCCTCAGAATGGTTGGAATGATCCTCCAGCGTTAAACAGAGTACCCAAAAAAAAAAAGGTACTAGAAAAAGATTTATTCCTGGCCATCTTTTTACCCTAAGGATTGCCCCATGAAGTACACCTTGCTTCCCTGAAACTATTAAAGGCAGAGTTACTCATTAGTGTGTTTAAAGTATGTTTCAAAATATGTGTTCTAACCTGTGAGGGGAAGAAAGAAAGAGAAACCTTAGTCTGATGATAGTGATAAGAAAGCCTTTTTAAGAGGCAAGATGTAAATTTCTATAGGTCTCTTTCAAAAAATAGGAAACACAGTTCTAGCTTTCTCACGGATAGGAGTTGGATTTATTTTTTTAGCATTTGCTTTGGTCTTTGGGTTACAGTATTATTCATGAATTTGATAAATGTATTCTGAACTATTTTTTACATAAAATCTAGCTATGCACTATGTTCTATAAAGTTGCTACCAACACTGAATTAGTGAATACTGAAGCATTACTTCTGATCGTGACATAGCAATGAACTCATAAATACATAACCTTGTTTTATGTTTTAAAGGAGGTATTTAACTTGTTAAAGGAGTCCTGATAATGTAGTGTGTCACCTTTGTGCTGCTAACCCAAAGGGCAGCGGTTTAAATCCACCAGCAGCTCTTCGAGAAGTAGATGGGCAGTCTCCTGTAAAGATTTACAGCCTCAGAAACCTGATGGAGGGTCACTGTGAGTTGGAAACGACTCAACAGCAGTGGATTTGAATTTTTTTTTTAGTTTATTTAAAATTGTTAATTTATTTACATGGAACTTAAGGCTAACAGCATTATAACTTTTACCCGAATAAGCCTTATTTGACACACATATTGTTACCATAAGGCACATTACATCCTTTTTGTTTCTGAGACCATTAGGTAATATTTCAGCAGTCCTCTTAGAAGCTGTTTCAAATAGTAAATCACCCCAAAAAAAACCCAAAACACAAAAAAGTGCAAAAAATATGATGCTCCAAAACCTGAGAAGTTCACGTGTGTGTAGTGTAAGAGCTGAAACTAGACAGCACGTGGCCTGCCTTGTGTGACCTCAGGGGGAGCATGCACATCAGGCAGCTCAGATTCCTTGCCACTGTGCATGTCTGCAAATGGTCACAGAAGTGCCATGAGTAGTTAGACTGAGATTACACATACATTGTCATGAGTAGACAAGCTCACGGGTACAGAATCCAGGAATAATGAAAACTGATGATAGAGAATGTGAATTATATAAAAAGTGAATGAACCCTATATTTAGGTGACAACTCTTTGAGAGTCTTAAAAGCATAAAATTCTTTCCCTTGGGGGCAAAACGAATGTTCTGCATTGTTTTCATTTTTAAACTCTTGTTTACCCCAGAATGTAGCTTAGGAATAATTAGAAACTTGATCTATTTTAGTGTGATAGAATTGATGAAGTAGACAGTCCTGCTTCTAGTCTTGCTAGATAGAATTATTAAGATATTATTATTATTATTATTATTATTATTTTGTGTGTGTGCCTTCAAATCACATCTGACTTCTCCAGGAGAGCATCTGGTGGATTCAAACTGTGTACCTCTGGGATTGTAGTGCAGCTTCTTGCCACTAGGCCACCACAGCTCCCTAAAATGATTAAGATTTTAACATTCATTTTCAAAGCCCCACAGTTTTGGCTCCCCATTTTGAGAAAAGGTTTGTGAGAACAACGGGAGACGGGAAGTCTATGTTTGCTGGGTCTGCTTTTGTCTGTTGTCTCCTAGAATTCTTTATAAAATTTCATTTGCAGAAATAAAATTCTTATTGTTGTTGTGTACTGTAGAGTCACAATAGCTGACTCTCCAGCGGATTTTCAGAGGCAGTTAATTAATTGCATGGGAGGAGATTGTGCATCCTTCTCCCATGGAGCAGCTGGTGGCCTTGAACTGTATTCCTTTGGGATTACAGTGCAGCTTCTTGCCACTAGACCACCTTATTTATTATTATTATTCATAATAGAGAGAGCACTGGCGACATATTTAACATATCAGGCTGCTAACAGAGAGTTAAACAGTTTGAATCAATCAGCCACTCTGAGGGAAAATAATGGGCAGTCTCCTATGAAGTTATTTCCTTGGAAGAAGTGGTACAATGGATGAGAACCAAATGATGACAGTGGGCTATAATCTAACTCCTTTATTTAAAAATCAGAGGAAATGTTGTCATCCTTGTTATTCTTACTTTTGGTGTTTTTATTTGTTTATTTTTTTAAAATTCCTCTCTTTTGAAAGATGCCTGAGAACTTTATGCCTCCTGTCCCCATCACATCTCCAATTATGAACCCTTTGGGTGATGCCCAGTCACAGATGCTGCCGCAGCAACCTTCCGCTCCAGTACCACTGTCAAGCCAACCGTCATTCCCACAGCCACACCTTCCAGGTGGCCAGCCTTTCCATGGCATACAGCAGCAACCCCTTGCTCAACCAGGCATGCCACCATCGTTTTCAAAGCCCAATATTGAAGGTGCCCCAGGGGCTCCTATTGGAAATACCATCCAGGTAATCATACATGTGGGAGTGGAATGGGGAGATGGCTCTATTTCTTTATTTTTAAGAATAAATATGTTTTATGATCATATCTAAATGTTGTTTCAACTTGGACAACTTAAAACATGTTAATGATTAAAAAGATAAACCATTTATGTATCATTTTCAGTTACAAGGCCACATCTAAACTCTCTGTAAAAAAATTGTATATTTACATTATGAATGATTATTATAACTTGCCAAATGAAATATTTCATTTGATTTGATTTAATCAGGAGCCACATTTTAAGATAAGTTGAATCACCTGAGCATCCTAAACAGAAACTGTTGTCCAAAAGTTTTTACTTTTAAAGTGTAAGAGAAAAATGCGTTATCTCTCTTTTATATATCTCTCTTTATATATATAAAACTTTATCATTGGACAGGGAGAAATATTTTTACTGGGTTTGACATACAGATGTCTATTTTGAAAGGTTGATAATGTAACATTTTTCTCATCTACCTGGCTTAACCTAAAAAATATTTATTTGATCTCTTCATAGTTAAATTTGGGTCCAAGGTTACCATAAAAAGATTGTACAAACTTCTACTCCAATTAGAAGCTAGTTTTATTTCTTTGACTCCTTTTATGCAGATTTGTAAATATTTTATCTCTTTCAGAAACATATGCTATTTAATCAAGCCAAAAACCTGGGAATCATCATTATCCTCTTTTCATTTCTATTTCTAATGTGTCACCAAATGTTGATGATACTTTCTAGATAACTCATGAATCCCTTCTTTTCTGCATTTCTATACTGCATGAGACTCTTAATTCTTTTGCTAGTATTCATCTACTTTGATCTATTTCTGATGGGGTTTTGTCTCCTTTTTGCTTAAAATATTAGTTTCCCATTGTTTTTAGGCTTAAAAGGCTCAGACCCTGTTCTTCCTTGCTGTCTCTCTCTGCTCTTAATAGTCCCTTGTATCACTATCTTTTATATATCCTTTTCCTGGTAAGGAATACTTTTAACTTTTTGCTTGATTGGTTAACTTGCTTACTCTTCAAGTATCATTTCCTAAAGAAAGCTTGCCCTTCCTTCAAATTCAGTTAAATTATCATTTGGCTCCACGAATGCTGACTTGCCACAGCTGCTACTTCACATACATTTATGCCATTATTTAACTTTCTCTTTCAATTGCCCATAAAACTGCCTAACGGCTGAGGTTCTTTTTCTAAATAAATTGTTATTTTTACTGGTTTGCTTACAAAGTTTGTATACATTGTTTTTCACCCAGATCTTTCCTATTTCCTTTCCCCACTCCTCCCTCTACCCATCAAATTGTGTTACCCTGTGATTATCCCCCCGCCCATCTTCACTCCTCTGCTCCTACCCTCCCTGTTTGGATCCCCATACCCATTTTACTAGTTACCTTTTTTCCCCTACAATAATGGTCATGTACAGTATTTGTCCTTATGAGACTGAGTTAGTTCACTTAGTATAATTCTCTCCAGTCCCTCTTAAGTTATGTAGTAATTTTCAAAATCAGTGCTGAGGTTATTTCTGTATTGGTTCATCATTACCTAGCCAGTGCCCAAACCAGTGCCTGGCACATAATTAATGCCCGATATTTTTTGAATGGATGAGCAAACAAACTAGCAAATGTTAAAAATAATGAATCATAACCTTAAAGTTATTCCTTTGTTCTTCTAGCTTACCGTCAAGAACATTATGATCTTTTCAGTTTTAACCTTTGCTTTGATCTTGCCATTTTGGTGATAGGTCAGTTAACAATTTGCCAGAGTGAAACAAGGTAGAGAATAATGCTAGGATAAACACAAAGTGGAACCAGAAGAGCAAACAGCTGCTCTTAGGAGCTAGTTCAGGGTTCTAATGTCTTTTTATGTCATGCTGATTTACTACTTCTCCATTTAATACAATACTTACTAAACTGTGTTTCCTAATCAGTCAGTTAACTTGCTATCTAATCCCTTTTATGTAACTTCAAGCTGTAGAAGAAGGATTATACTTTCTGCTAGATTTCTGGTTTCATTTTTACTTGAGTCTGGTGACTTCACACGTTCATTTTCTTTTTATTTGCCTGTTTACAAGGTGGTTGCTTTCTGTTTAGCACATAGCATCAGAGCTTATAAGATGCAGAGCTTCTGGCCATTTATGGTCATTTTGTGAAATCATTTTTTCTTCCAGCATGTACAGTCTTTGCCAACAGAGAAAATTACCAAGAAACCCATTCCAGATGAACACCTCATTCTAAAGACCACGTTTGAGGATCTTATTCAGCGTTGCCTGTCTTCAGCCACAGATCCTGTATGTACTTTTTTCTCTCTTATTTTAATTAAAATATGAAGCCCTTCTGTTTTAAGTTCTATAAGATTTATTTCTAAAAAAAATCTGAAAGGTTAAAAAGCTAGCACTTAATCATTGGCTTGACACATGCCGATGTCCATGTGTGTATGTTATTGTTGTTATTGAGCACTGTAGAGTTGGAACTGACCTATAACTGACCCTTCAGCAGGTTTTCAGTGACAGTAAATAAGTTTATTTCATCTTTACAGCAACCTGATGAGATGGATTTGGCATTTTTATTTTACAAATGAAGAAATGAAGGGGGGGGAGTTTAGGTAACACTCAAAATCACAGCTTAAAATTTGTGTCCAGGCTTGCTTTAGAATCCATGCTCTCTTAGTGAGAGAAGATCTTCATCCTGAAACCCACAGCGTCCCTTTTCAGCAGGAAGTAGCTAAGAGAATACGCCATCCCCTTTTCCTTATGACTCAGGGTGAAGTCTCTCTCAGGGAGGAGTGATAGGGAATGGCAAAGGACACACTGACAAAGAAGATTAATCAGAACTGGCTTTGACAAGCACTGTGGCATTTGGACAAGAACAAACTGGGAGGAGGGTAGAGAGAATAGTGCAACAAGGAATGAATGGAAACCCAAAATCTCTGTAAATGTTTATGAAAATTAATAAAATATAGAAAAAAAAAGAATCCATGCTCTTTCCTATTGTGTTGTTCTGTATTTCTTAAAAGATATGTAGTTAGGCACATACAGAAAGCATAATTGTGATCTGCAAGAAAACAGATATTTATTGTTTGTTTTCTTGAGCTATTGTAACTTCAAAAATATATTAAAAATAGTTAAATGTTTTAAATATTGGGATTATAATTGTAGTAAAGTAACTTACCTTGCTTGGTAAGGATGTCTGTCTTGTCAGCTACAACAAACATTCTACAAAGCCTGTCTTGTTTGATGAAATTTCAGTTTCTACCAACATACCCTGAATGTTTATTTAGACAGTGACTACTTGTCTGCTTAAGGAAGAAGAAAATACTCAGCTTCTGGACTTCGTTGTTTCATCAAGCATTGAGTATTATTATGTGCAGCCTTTTGCTTGTTGTGGAAAGCAATTTCCTGTACGGAAAATGTCAGGAAAATAGAAGCAGAGAGAATTAGCACCTTCTGTTCTGGGAATCATGGAAAGACCACTTAGGGAATGAAAGGAGCATATGAAGCTGATTGATAATTACGTTTCCATTACTACCTGTGTGCCCTGAGTAACTCATCTTTGAACTCATGGCCATTGAGTTGGCTCAAGTGGCATAGTGAGTAGTGGATGAGCTGTTAACCAACAGGCCGACTCCACCAGCTGCTCCACGGAAGAAAGATAGACATTCCTCCATTAAGATTTGCAACCTCAGAGGGTCACTGTGAGTGGAAACCAGCTCTACAGCTGGGAGTTTTTAAATTTTTCATAAGTATGTAACAAAACTCTGTCCTTTTGTGGGTAGGAATTATTACAGTTTGTTGAGTTTCACCTTTTCTGGGAGCCCTGCTGGCACAGTGGTTAAATTCCCAGCTGCTAACCAAAAGATTGTCAGTGTGGGCCCACCTTGAGCCTCTACAGGAGAAAGACCTGGTGGTACTCTGCTTCATTAAAGAGTACAACCTGGAAAACCCTTTCTGGTGATTCCGTTGAGTCTTCAGGAGGCTGCTGTACGTTGAGATTGACTTGAGGGCAACTCATAACAATAGCAGGTCACACTACTATCTTCCCCAAGAAAATCTGGGGACCCAGGAGCCCTGGGAAAGAAAGGAGCCAGGTACAGCAAGTTATTTATATAATACTTAGAACTACTTGCGGGAAAAGTTCTAATATTCTGTTCAGCTGCCTCCACCCTTTGAAGTAGGGTTCCTGCTGATGGCTATATAAGATTAATGGTGAGAATGGTCTATAAGAGTTCCCCTACACAAAAGCCATTGGAATCAGTAGTTGGAATACTTTTTCTAGCATGGCTTTATTTTCATTTTCACTTTCCTCATGCCCAGAATGCACAAAGTTATTTTGTAGCAAAATTTAATATTTATCCTCAGTGGCCTTATCTCTTCCTCTGTCCTCTTTAAAAGCCTTGTCTTTTCCTTTCTCAAAGATAGAAGATGTTCAGTGTTTAGGATTTTACTTATTTCCTTTAACATCTTTCATACAACTCCTCCCCAGTATGCCTGTACCTGCTTGTTCCAGATCTCTATTCAAATGTTGCTTTAGTCATCAGGCCTTTTTTTTACCTATATTAAGTTACACACAGCCTTTTTTTTTTTACCTATATTAAGTTACACACAACCTTGTACGCTACCCCTAGTACTTCTTTTTTTTAAAGAAAACTTACTAGAATGTGTGTGTGTGTGTACCGTTAAATCGGATCTGACTGGTACAGAAGAAGATTGCCCCTCCTTCTCCAGCAGAGCATCTGGTGGATTTGAACCACATACTTATGGAATTATGGTGCAGCTTCTTGCCAGTAGGCCACCAGAACTCCTTTACTCCCAGTACGTCTTCCTAGCACCTTTGTCCTTACTCTGTCAACTTACCACCATCTGCCAACAGTATTCCCCTTGTTCATTTAGAATTTTTTCCCTACCCACTAAAATGTGAATTTGACACACAGCTTATGTATCCCAGCACCTGGCACAAAGTTTTTATCAATAAATACTGAAATAATGGTGTTATTCCCAAGACTGTTGTGTAATAGACATTACCATTAGGTTAATTATCATTTAAAAACCTTACATTTAGTTTTGAATGGTTTTCCTCTCACTATAGTTACAGAAATAGGATTGAGGTGGGATATCCTTATTTTTTGTACTTACTTCTTAGTTCTCATGAGTAGCCAGAAGATATGTGATGATGTGTATAAATAGTATTTTTTTTAAAATTTTATTATTTTTTGTGTACCGTCAAATGGGATCTGACTGGTACAGGAGGAGATTGCCTTTTCTTCTCCAGCAGAGCATCTGGTGGATTCGAACTGTGTACCTCTGGGGTTGCAGTGTAGCTTCTTGCCACTAGGCTACCAGAGCTCCCTATAAATAGTATATTTTAAAGATAAAACAAGATTCCACAATTCACCCAGATGCTACCTCCTTCTCACATAATCCATAACTATACTTGAACCTTCTTATGTGTCACACGTTGATTCCTCTCAATAGCCCTTCCTACTGCTTAAAAAACAGTTGCTCACATCCTTAACATATATATATGTCAAGTGAGTGTGCAGTTCACATGAAATTCAACCAGCATTTTATTCTTTTAACAGATACTGTTGAGTCCTTGAGTAGCATACCTGCTTAATCTCTTGGCTACTAACCCAGTGGTTGGTGGAAAAATCCACTCAGAGCCTGTGTTAGAAACCTAGTGATCTACTTCAGAAAGGTCACAGCCATTGCAAACCCTATGGAGAACATTCTTACACTAGCACACATGGGGTTGCTGTGGATTGGCATCAGCTTGAGACCTCTCTGGATTTCTTTGGTCTCATATTTTGACAGATATCTTGTTCCACCAAAATGATTGCTGTCAAGTTGATTCTAACTCACAGCAACGTTTTAGGGCAGAGTAGAACCAGGGAGTATGAGCTAACCTTTATGCATGCAGAATGCCAAATTCTCTTGCTGCACAACTGATGGGTTTAAATTGCTGACTTTTTGGTTAGCAGGTGAGTGTTTAGTCACTGTGTAACCGGGGCTCTTCCGTTGATCATAGTTGCCTCATTTCTGTATATTCATATCTTTATTACATATATCTTCATTATAATACATAGAACTAGAATTCATCTTTATTATTTATTTAGTAAAATAAAATAGGACAGGTTCTTTGGATAAAAGTTAACAATCACAGTAACAGATCTTTTTTCTCTCCCACAGCAAACCAAAAGGAAGCTGGATGATGCTAACAAACGTTTGGAGTTTCTATATGATAAACTTAGGGAACAAACAGTAAGTTTTTTGGGGGGAAAAAAGCCTTAAGTCAATTAAGATAAAGACCTTTTTAAATATCACAAATGTTTGCAGGGTGTGTGTGTGTGTGTGTGTGTGTGTGTGTAAAAACTAGACTACATGATTAAAGGCTAACAAATATTTCTGAGGGTAACTTTGCATTTCAAAAACTCACACTCCTTGCTATCAAATTGGAACTGACTCATTTGCTAGTACATGAGTGACCCCTAATTCTCTAGAAGTGTCTCATCAGTTCACTCATTAGTATACTTAGGGATGAGATTGTCATGACAGCTATAAAATGAAGTTTGCTCTAAATTTTAAATTCCATTCCTGAAGAGGAGTTGACAGAACAGAGACACAGAGAGAGAGAGAGAGAGGTGATTGTGAGTATGTGTGAGGGAGAACAAAGTATAATTTTAACCTTTCTCATCCACTTCCTAAATAACATGCCTCCAGAAACCCTATGAACTTTGATAAAGTTGTAGAGGGCCTTTAGGCCTTTTGTTCATTGTGTTGCTATGAGTCGTGCTTGACTCAAAGGCAGTCAACAGCAACATAATAAAAACAAATGAAAACTGGCTTGTCTTGGCACTTTGATGATTGACCTTCTTTTGTATATTTTATATTACTTAAATGAAGAAATCCAATTGGGAAAGGTACCCGTTTTCTAGAAACCATTTGTGTATCTTTCTCATAGTCTAGGTTCTGACTTGCTTTTTTCCTCTAAAATAGCTGCTGCACCAAGGCAAAGCCAAATACTGCCACTGATTAATACGCAGGTTAATGTGCTGTAAGTAGGAAGAGAGCCAGCAAGAGTAAACATAGTGTGCCCATTCTATGTTCCCGGTCCATCATCTCTCTGATTCTTTTTATAATTGTTTTTTTATCAGTGCAAGTACTGAAACTAGAAAGAGAAAAAGAAATGAGACTTTGTTTTATATTTTTGTGTTTCAGCATTCCTTTACCCTCTTCCCCCTACCCAGAGCTATCAGATGAAGATAACCTTCTCTTATGAGAACCAAACCAGTCAAAGTTGATGTAAATAGAAAAAGTGGCTTCATAAAACATAGAGTCCTCTCTCCAAAGCCTAACTATGTATTCCAGTGACTAACTTGGGGGCGAGGACTTTAGATTTTATGATTTTGAGAGTTTATAGTGGGTGGGTATTATAAAAATTAAAAAAATTCAAAGCCACTGTCATTCTGTTAGTTGTAACGTTTAACAGCAATCCTATGAGAGCTCTAGTGGCATATAGGGTTATACATTGGCTGCTAATTAAAGATCAGTGGTTGAATATTATAGGATAAGATGGAACTGCGCAGTGGCGTTTCCAAGGTTATAAATCTCTATGGAAGCTGACTGCCTCATTTTGTCCTGAGGAGCGGCTGGTGCATCCAACCTGCTGACCTTTTTGGTTAGTGACTGACTGCTTTCACAGCCAGATTGCCTTCAGAAGTCTAAAAAGCTGTTCAGAATTGGTGAGGTGAAGACTCAGTGAGGCCTCTTGTCTTACTAAATGGAAGTTGACCAAAAGTTTATAGTCTCCAATAAATTGAACCTTTGCATTAGCTATAGTTAGGTCTTTAACCTTTTGTGTGCAAAGGAAATGTTTTTATTTTTATTTGTGTGTGTGTGTGTGTGTGTGTGTTCTGTCAAATTTTATTTGACTGGTACAGGAGGAGATTGCCCCTCAGTCTCCAGCAGAGCATCTGGTGGATTTGAACTACATGCCTCTGGGATTGCAGTGCAGCTTCTTGGCACTAGGCCACAAGAGCTCCCTATAAGGGAAATTTTAAAAGATATGAGAGGCTATATCTAAAATAATTGAAGAATTTTAGCTTTTGAGTAGAGAGAACCATTAGCATATCATCTCATGAACACCTGGATTAAATATATATATATAATTCATAAATAACTTCCTTTCATAAATGATTTTGTCATGGCCCGTTTTAGAAATTAAATATTGCTCGGTCCTCGGTATTATTTTTAGAAATATAAATTTTATACTTTTAATGTTTATTCCAAGCCTCTTTTGGACATCTAGTTTTGTTGTTTGTGAGAGATTTTGTGGGACATTCTCCTTTAATTTAATTTTTTTTCTGCGTTTTTATTTTTCAGCTGTCACCAACAATCATCAGTGGTTTACACAGCATTGCAAGGAGTATTGAAACTCGAAACTATCCGGAGGGATTGACGATCCACACCCACATAGTCAGCACCAGCAACTTCAGTGAGACCTCTGCTTTTATGCCAGTTCTCAAAGTTGTTCTCACCCAGGCAAATAAGCTAGGTGTCTAAACGGACAGCTTCACTCCCTGCCAAGATTGCCATTTTCCAAAGAAATATGTTTTAAAAAATGCTAAGATATGGACCATGTATCAATCCTCATTAGGATGTTTCTCTAGCATCCAGTCAAGAGCATTTATACTATTTCTGCCGTTACACTCACCTTAGAATTGCCCATAACCTGGGTACTTTTTTGTTTTAATCTTCTGTTGTCCACAATGATTTTCCTATTCTGCAGATAGTATATTTCCTGGATTACACATAGTATGGTTTCTTAAAGTCTTCTGATAAGATGTAGTTTTTAAAAGCTCAGTATACTTTTTGGAAAGAGCATCTGATTACAAGCGAAAACTAAATTTCTTTCATGTCCTCTCATCTAGCTCCATGTCAATCAGATTAAAGTGTGTAATCCTATTTTGTGTGTATGTAGTCTTTTTTTTTAACAGCTGCTCACAGTTTAATGCGTGTGTGTGCGTATTTTTAAGCTTTCACTTTGGTCCTGATTCAATAACCATATCTAGAGACTAGTCATAGGTTTTAGCAGATATTAGTGAAAATGCAGTCACTAGCTTTAAATATTTGTAGGGCAAGACAAACACTCAGTAGAATACAGTGAACTTTTATCTATTATATATGAATAAATCTTCCAGTATTCTGAGTTTTAAGATGCTGTGACCTCCATCTTATAGTTTGAGATTCATTTACCCATTTAAAAAAAATCTGTCATTCTGAGGTTTAAATTTATTTTCGTTTTTAAAAAATTTTCATTCAGTCACTCATAATAGATTTCGTTTCAAAACAATAATTACCGTTATACAAAGCCATTATTTACAACATCCTATTTGCTTCACCTTACAGGTAATCTCTGCTTCTTCCCAGTTTTCCTTCCATCTCTATCTGCCAACCCTCTTCATTTCTTTTTATCTGTGGGTAAATCTTCAGTTATTCTTTTCCTCCTTCCTCCCTTTTTCTTCTCCATTCAATTAGTTACGCATATCTATTCCAGATTGTTATTTGTAATATACATTTTGTCTGATTATCCATTTGTTTCAGATTGATATTCTTTCCCCTATTCCATTACTGTGTTCATGAGGTTTAAATTTGGTGAGAAAAATTTCATTTTATTTTTTTTTTTCCTGATCAAAGCCAGACATTTTCAATAAATTTTTCTGTCAGGAGATTTTATTATAATGTCTTAAGAACATTGTGATAAATGGTCCCATAAAATCTTGAGAAAGGATTTAGATACTAATCATTTTTTATTACTTATGCAACCAATAGGAGGGTTGGAAATCTAGGATACAAGCACTGTGATACTCTGTATACCGAGATAATGTTTTGATAAGTTAGTTGATCAGGTTCTTTACAGCCTGGGTGAGAGAGTTTGAAAAAAAAAATAGCCCACTCCTCTTTGCTAGGTTTTTATGGAATTTAGACTTTTTAAAAATTATTGCTGGCTGTACCAAGTCTCTTTCCATCTCATGGCAGCCCCATGTGACCGATTAGAGAAGTACCCTATAGGAGTTTTGAGGCCATAATCTTTAAGAGAACACATTGCCAAATCTTTCTCCTCTAGAGCCACTGGGCTGGTTTGAACTCTTAAACTGAAAAAGTTGCTTGTATATATGAATAGTACAGTCTCAGGAATGGAATAACTAGCCTTTTTTTTTTTAAATTTTTCTTCTATTTCATTATTTTTTGTGTGTACCGTGAAATCAGATCTGACTGGTACAGGAGGAGATTGTTCCTCCTTCTCCAGCAAAGCATCTGGTGGATTTGAACCATGCACCACTGAGATTGCAGTACAGCTTGTTGCCAAGCTGATATACTGACAGCTTGCTCCCATGTGTTTGATAGTGTGAGCTCCACTTCTCACAGAAGTGACAACTAAGTTGCCAGCCTAAGGCCCTGTCTGAATAGCCGGCTGGCCTCAAGTAATTGTTTTCATTCATTGCCCTTACAGCTAAGATTTCTGCTGCATGTTTACCTTATGATAAAGAAATGGCATCATTGCCTTCATTTACAGAGAAAAAAATTTCCCAAAGATCAAGTGGCAGTGGAGCCTTGTTTCCATTAACCTTTGAGCAGCTTTTATCTTCTCCCTTTTCAATACAACACTTTGATTTTTTTTTCTTCCCCCCATTGTGGAGCCATTTTTCCATGTTGAATAAAACCTTGGAAAAGTTTTATGTATATTAGGTAAAATGAGCTGATTCTAAAACATTGTCTTGTCTGATTGTCCAATGTTTATGGAACAGACCTTTTTTCTCTCTTAAGAAAAACTACTCCTTAGAGGCAAAGATTCTGGGGCTTCGTCTGACATACTTAGGAGAGACAGGTCTTTAGAGAGGGACATCTTGCTGGGTAGAGTAGAGGGACAGCGCAGGAGGGGAAGACCCTCTATGAGGTGGGTTGATTCAGTGACTGGGGTAATCGGGATGGGTGTGTCAGAGGCAATGCGATTGGCACAGAATAGAGCAGGGTTTAGGGCTGTTGTACATAGGGTCGCTATGAGTCGCAAATGACTCAACGACACATAACAAAAACAACAAGAAAAATAAAGACACTTTCCCAAAGTTTCCTGTTTGTAAAACAAAAATATTAGAACTTGATATCATGCATCTGTTTTTAATGTTTTCAACTGGAAGACTTGAAAGTTTATGTCTGCAAAATTCAGGAACTTCTGTTTTAAGGCTATGCCTTAAAGTAATGATCTAATGGATAAGAATAAGTGTTTAGTGTTGGTTGCAATCTATTTTGTGTTGTTGTCATTACCTCATGTGTAATGAACAATTATTCTCTCTGAATTTCAAGTCTGCTTCATTTTGCTGCTGTGTTTTGGGTTTTCTGGGTTCCCTCTACCTAATCTTACTTAATTTTAAGACAGAGGAATGGGTGTCAGTGAAGCAGAAGCCGGGGCCAGGGTGTTGACTAGGGAGATGGATCAGAGTGTCTGGGGATGGTAATGTTTTACATTGATGTTTATTGTTTTGCCTGTTCCTCTATCCCGTCCTTATACCACTCTCTGGGTTAGGGTAGAATGGGTACCACTCTCTGGGTTAGGGTAGAATGGGTGTACCTTTGTGTCTCTGCTTGAAAATATGTGTGTTTTAGCTGTTAGAGGTACTTGCTCATTAAGTAGAATTGGAATAGGAAAAAAAGTTTGTGAAAGCTGTTCTACACTTAACTGTAAAGTTCAATGAACTGAAAATGTTAGAAATTTTAAGTGTTCAATAAACTGATATATATTTTTGAATTCAGAAAATTCCCATATAACAAGAAGCAAAGGAAGATATACTGTGGAATGAATTCTTGGTAACCAGATGCACCCTTACTCATCGAAAAACAGCTCCCCAAAAGATAACGAGATACGGTCACTGGTTAACAGTTTGTCTGCTGAGCCAGATTTGGAATCATCTAAGGATGACTTCATTTGACTGTGTGGATCATAACAAATTATGACTGACTGAGAAGAATGAGAATCCAGGAACACTTAATTGTTCTCATGAGCCTAGATCAAGAAGCTTTTGTCCAAACAGAGCAAGGAAACACCACATGTTTTAAAATCAGGGTTTATATCAGGGAAAGCATCCTTTCTCTATACCTATTCAGTCTGTAGGCTGAACAAATAGTTTGTGAAGCTGGACTCTATGAAGAGGAATGTGGTTTCAGAATCAGAGGAAGACTCATCAACAACCTGCAATATACACATGGCATAACCCTGCTTGCTGAAAGGAGGATATAAGATACTTTGTGCAGAAAATCAAGGACTACAGCCTTCAATATGGTTACATCTCAACATCAAGAAAACAGAGGTCCTCACCACAGGACCAAAAGTCAACATCAAGATAGATGGAGTAAGGATTGGAGCTGTCAGTGTTTTCATTTTGCTTGGATCAATAGTCAACACCACTGGTACCAGCAGTCAGGAAATCAGGACATATCTTGCGTTAGCTAAGTCCACTGTCTAAGAACTCTCCAAAATACTGAAGAGCAATGATGTCAGTTTAAAGACCAAGGTGTGCCTGATTCAGGCCACGGTCTTCTTGACTACTGCTATACATCAGAGAGCTAGAATAAGGATGACAGAAGAATTGATACCTTTGAATTTTGGTGCTGGAGTACCCCATGGACTTCCAAAAGAACAAACAGATTAGTTTTAGAGAAAATGCAGCTGGGTAGTCCTCGGAAACAAAGCAAAGCTTCATCTCACCTACTTTGTACAGGTAGCTAGACATCATACTTGGAGAAATAGAGGGTCAGCGAAGGAGAGAAAGATCCACAGTGAGATGGATTGATACAGTAACTTCAGCAGTGGGCTCTCTCTGTCAGAAAAGATGAGGATCGAGTAGGATTTAGGAGTCACTCTGAGTCTTACTGGGCTCAACAGCCCCTAAGAAAAACAAAGATGACTTCAGGACCATCTGATGACTTCACTGGCAGTGATTTATCGTTTTCTGAACCCTTATCTAAAACCACCTTTGTGTGTTAGTGAGTTTATATATTGCAGTTGGGAAAGGAATGGCTTTAAGCAGCCTTGTGAATTAAGGAAATCTTACTTTTACCAAAGATGGAAAAGTGTTTTGGATTCTAGTACTTTATGCTAAATTAGGAGGTGCTGGTGGTGTAGTCCATTGAGAGTAGCACTGCTAACCCAAAGATAGCACCTTTGGCAGTTTGAAACCACCGGCAACTCTGGGAGAAAGGTTGGCAATGTGATGTGCCTTTCACAGCCTCTGAAAACCCACTGCAGGGTTCCTACTCAGTGGCAGGCAGTTTTCCTATAAAGTTAAACCATATGAAGTTTTTATCTCAGATACATAACTCGATCATTTCTTTAAAGAATGTTACATTTTTTTGCTCTGGATAGTGGCATCCTAACATTATCTTGGGTGGGTTGGTCCCCCCCCCAGTAAATATGTGTTAAGTATTTTATACAGTACAGTGTAGATTTTATGCCCAACAGATGTGTTTCCAGGTGAGCAATGCAAATGAATCCAGAAGAAGCCAGTATAATATGAATAGAATGGATTCAAGTGTGGTAAGAAGAAAATACGACATCTTTTGAGAGCCATTGCCTCAGTGGTCTCAAGGAGGTCCATGAAGTAGGATTTGGTTAACGGTGACGAGTCATTTCATTTTAGATTCTTTCCAATCCAAATCAGTGTATATTATTCACCAGTCATTGACACTGTGTGTTGGAGTCTTTTCATTACTTTAACAGCCCAACACGTAAAACTCTACAGTTTTTTGAGAAAGGATTTCGATAACTAATCATTTTTCATTACTTATGTAACCAATAAGAGGGATGGAAAACTAGGATACAAACCCTGATAAAGACTAATCACCTCACAGTATCCATATATTACTCATCAGTAGCTCTGACTGGCATTCTGTTTGGCCACCTGACCCAG